AATTTCTCCTCTGTTCCCTCCGCCGCCTTCCGCGGCCTCTCCAGTCTCCAGATTCTCAGCCTCACCCAGAATCTCAACCTCCAGCCCTGGACCATTCCGGCCGACTTGACTCAGGCCTCTAGTTTGGTCAGTTTGTACGCCGCGAGTGCCAACATTGTTGGGTCGTTGCCGGATTTCTTCGATTCGTTCCCCAGTTTGCAGGAGCTTCGTCTTTCTTACAACAATTTGACTGGGGTTTTGCCCAAATCGCTCGCCGGATCTGTGATTCGAAGCCTTTGGTTGAACAATCAGGTAAATGGGTTTTCCGGTGGGATTGATTTGTTGGGTTCTATGACCCAGTTGACTCAGGTTTGGCTCCAGAAGAATCAGTTTACTGGCCAGATTCCGGATCTTTCCAAATGTGAGGCTCTTTTTGATCTTCAGCTTCGTGACAATCAGTTCACTGGGATTGTTCCTCCTTCGCTTATGCAGCTCTCAAGTCTGCTCAATGTTTCTCTGGACAACAATAAGCTTCAGGGGCCGTTGCCGGTGTTTGATTCCAGAGTTTCTGCTTCGTTTAGTAGCGTTAATAGGTTCTGCAGGACGACGCCCGGGGCGTGCGATCCTCAGGTTTCTGTGCTGCTTGCGGTTGCCGGGGGTTTCGGCTACCCGATTTCACTGGCGGATGCTTGGGAAGGGGATGATGCTTGCAACAATTGGAGCTTTGTTGTTTGTACTGAGGGGAAGGTTACTAATGTTAACTTTGGGAAGCAGCATTTGGTGGGGATGATCTCCCCTGCGTTTGCTAATTTGACGAGTTTGAAGAATTTGTATTTGAACGATAATAACTTGACTGGGGAGATACCCGAGAGCTTGACGACGTTGTCGCAGCTTCAAACCCTCGATGTTTCTAACAACAATCTCAGTGGAGAGATACCGAAGTTTGCTGCATCAGTTAAGTTGAACACGAAGGGTAATCCGTTGCTTGGGACGAGCTTGAGCCCAGGAAATGGAGGAGGTGATGGTGGAGCTGGGAGTGGCAAGTCTGATTCCAATGGCACCATCCCAGATGGGACTCCTTCAAGATCTTCCAAGGGATCTTCTGTTTCAGCTGGTTTGATTGTTGGTGTTGTTGTTGCAGTTGTTGTTTTTGTTGCTGTCTTACTGTTTGTTGTCTTCAAATGTTATGTAAGCAATCGGCATAAGAAGTTTGGGAAAGTAAACAATCCCGAAAGCGGTAAGGAGATTGCGAAGAGCGATGCAGGGAGTGGCTTGAACGGGTACGCTGGAGTTCCAAGTGAACTGCAGAGCCAGAGCAGTGAGGATCTTAACAGCGAATTCCACGTCTTCGAGGGTGGAAATGTGGCAATATCCATACAAGTTTTGAGGCAGGTCACAAACAATTTCAGCGAGGATAATGTGTTGGGCAGGGGAGGATTTGGAATTGTTTACAAAGGAGAGCTACATGATGGTACTAAAATTGCTGTGAAGAGGATGGAATCGGGGGCGGTGGGCACGAAAGGAATGAATGAGTTTCAAGCCGAAATCGCTGTTCTAACCAAAGTTAGGCATCGACATTTGGTCGCGCTTTTGGGTTCTTGCATCAATGGCAATGAGAGGCTATTGGTGTATGAGTATATGCCTCAAGGGACATTGACACAACATTTATTTGACTGGCAAGAGTATGGCTATCCTCCTCTTACTTGGAAACAGAGAATTACAATTGCATTGGATGTGGCAAGAGGAGTAGAATATCTACACAGCTTAGCTCAACAAAGTTTCATTCACCGAGATTTGAAGCCTTCGAATATACTTCTCGGCGACGACATGAGAGCTAAGGTCGCTGATTTTGGTTTGGTTAGAAATGCGCCCGATGGGAAATATTCTGTTGAGACTCGATTGGCGGGAACGTTTGGCTATCTTGCGCCCGAATACGCAGGTAAACAAAGCCTCCAATCTTCCATATTGCCTAATGACTCAAGTTTATTACTATAGAGGTTGTTTATTTAGCAAGCATGGTTTCAAAATAGGTAATGAGTTCAATTCCTTGCAACTTTTTTAAAGTTAATAGTCTTATCGCTTAAGCTTCGGGGTTTAGCTGAGAAATGAACTTAATTCTATTTCAACTATTTGGAAGTTAAAAGGTGGTTTTATGACCATTGGAGAACGACGTGTCGTTTGATAACCATTTCATTTTTAGTTTTCTGTTTTAAAAAATTATACTTGTTTTTGTAAAATTTTATTGATAAGATTTTCATCCCTCCTCGAAAAATAACATATTTGAATTCTTAGCCCAAATTTAAAAAGCAAAAAAACAAGTTTTTGAAAACTAATTTTTTTTTTCTTTTCAAAATTTAGCCTTGATTTTGAAAATGTTTATGAAAACTATTAACAAAACAAATGAACACATCGGTGAAAGTAATATATTTCTAAGCTTAATTTTTAAAAATAGAAAATGAAAAACGAAAGGGTTATCAAACAAGGTCTACATTTTTCTACATTTTTAGGAGTACAAAGTGTAATTACATTGTCATAGGCATTCTTACACATTTTCAAGCATCTAATTCTCATTTTGGATGATCAACAAACAACTACAGGAACTAAACTTTTATTTGTGACTTTGCATTTCACTCAGATTAGTTTTAATGGATTACAATTTAGAACTATTTGTTTCATCAGAAGTATTTACCAACCTCATCTTTAATCTTTCTGATAGCAACTGGAAGAGTCACGACAAAAGTCGATGTCTATGCATTTGGAGTAGTTTTGATGGAAATCATTACGGGTCGAAAAGCTCTGGACGACACCATGCCAGATGAGCAATCTCATTTGGTCACATGGTTCCGAAGGGTCTTGACCAACAAAGAAAACATCCCAAAGGCGATTGATCAAGCTCTCAACCCCGACGAGGAGACCATGGAGAGCATATACAAGGTGGCCGAGTTGGCAGGTCATTGCACAGCTCGAGAGCCTCACCAGAGACCAGACATGGGCCACGCTGTGAATATCCTCGGCCCTCTCGTGGAGCAATGGAAACCTTCGAGCCAACACGAGGAAGAAACGTACGGGATCGATTTGCACATGAGCCTACCTCAGGCTCTTCAAAGATGGCAAGCCAGTGAAGGAACATCGACAATGTTCAATGACATATCTTACTCGCAAACCAATACGAGCATCCCTTCGAAACCCTCCGGATTTGCAGACACTTTTGACTCCATGGATTGCAGATGATAGAAAGAAAAAGGAAACCAAAAAAATCTTCAAAAGGCAAGAAAAAAAGGTTACTAAAGAGCTGTTTGATTTAGTTGTGGGTCACTTTTTTTTCCTTCTTTTGATGCATAATTGATTTATCTATTTGTTTGCTTCATTCTTTTATTAATGCTAACTATGGAATTTTGCTGCATGGTTATGGATTTCTTAGCCATTTGAATTTGTATGATAAATATATATATATAAACAAAATTTAACTCTTCAGCTTCAATAATCTATCTACTGTCTAAACATATTAAACATAGTTCAATTGGTTAAAACATTTATTTACGATCAAAAAATCGTGAGTTTAAATCTTCACTCTCGTATATTACACTAAGAAAAACAAAATAATAATCGTATCTACTAAATCTCATTTAAATTTGAAATTTTTTAACTACATCTATGATTGTAACTTAGTTAATTTTTATGACTAATTATTTTAATTTTTAAAGTTCAACACGTGTGGAGTAGGGATTCAAACATCTTACTTTTTTTTGATAAATAATTATATACCTTAATCAGTTGAACTATGTTTGGTTGACATTTCATGGTAAACAATGTTTATTAAATGATGACATCACATCAAATCTTTATAAATGTTGGCTAATTTGACACGACATAGCAAATAGATGGCAGAAAAAAGTGGGTAATAAGACCATAAAGTATCAAATACAATAACGTATCTTCATTTTTAAGCAATGGATTAATTTTATACTTTGTATCACCCTACTTTATCCAGCAAGATACACTTTCTTCTACTATATTTGGTATTTTGTAATGTCGTGTCAATTTAGTTGACGATTGTCTAATGATGTTATATTACCGTTGGTTATTGATCGAGAGATATATTCAGAGTTTATAGACTAAATTGACAGATGGCATCAAAATTGAACTTTCTATTTTGTTTTCTTTACTCATAGGTTGAGTAAGGATAGCTTTTGGATCAATGATTCTTCCAGGCTGTGTGAAAGGTGACAAGAAAACTTAGGGATTCTTTAAAGGCCAGCAAGATTTCACATGTTTTTTTTTAAGTGTAAAATGAGTTGGATGAGAGCTGGAGGAAAGAGATAAAAAGAGGAATTTTTGAGTTTTGAAGGGTTGGGAAAAGGGGCTTTAGGAATTAGGATGATAATAGTGACTTTTTGGTAATGCCTTCACATGGCTGTGGTTGTAGGG